CACATAACTGGCATATTTTCTTTTGAACTTTGCTCAGAGAAAGTGAAACAGGAAGTGACATCAAAGGGGAACTTTTTAAGAAATAAAACTCTGTTTTTTGTTTATTGAAACAATATTTGAACTTCCTCATCTCTGTATGATAGTAATTAAAATAATCTACAGAAACATTAGATTCTTCTCTACAGTCTGTGTTGTTAGCTGCTGTAGCAACACTGTTTACACGCAGACCTCTGACATCACTTCCTGTTCCTTCACATGCAAATATCTCAACAACTGTTCATCTCAGCTGTGTGAAATCTTTTTTACAGTATATTATCAATGTTACCTTTCCAAAAATGCATTCATGTTTATTACAAAAATTTGATGTCACAGGCCCTTTAAGTACCCAGCAGGTTAGCATGAGCTAATCAACATGTTTTACTCTTTGTATTAGTATTGATCACATATTTACATACAAACTGATTTCTGTTGAGAGAAACAAACAGAAAACATGATTCTGTTCTGTTTGGCCACATTTTCAAAGAGCCTCATGGTTYCAGACCCCTGACACCTGARGGCTRCTGGATATAAAACCACATCAGGTGGAGAAACCGCAGGTCRCTGGAGCCCACCTTGGACCGTGTCAGGCTGACCCGGCTCAGCTGATGTGTCCACTGCAGGATGGAAGTCCTTCAGGTGGTCTCCTTCAACACTGAACTGGACCACATACTTGATCTTCACCTGGTCAGGAGAGTAAACCACGAACTCATCATCCTGGAACACAGGGACAGAGATGGTAGATGGTAGCAGCTCACCTGCAGCTCCATGAACTCTAATAAACCCAGATTAATAGATCCAGGCTTCCTTCTACAACCTCAAAGTCAGACTCGGGGTTCTGATCCCGGCAGACTGCATGCACGCTGTGGTGGCCCTCAGGAGCCCGGCTCAGAGTCGGYTCCCTCATGTGGACGTCCTTACACCGTCCCAGAGCCACGTCGCAGACCAGCAGCAGGCGGGTTCCGTCTGTCTCACTGGGTTTGGAGTATTTCAGACTGGTTCTGTGSACAGGAAGCAGAGACTCACATCTGGAACTGTTCGGACCTTCAGGTGGTTTCTGTGTCTCACATGGGGTACCTCACAGAGTCACTGAAGTAGATCCCACTGCCCAGGTTCCCCACGTCCGTTCTCTCAATCCCATGATGCTCCACTCCCACACGAGGAAGCAGCAGGCCCCTGAGAAGGCAGTTTCAGAATAAAACTCTGTTCTTTGATTAAAACATAAAGACATTCATTAAATTTAAAGAACAAGAGTTGAATCTTAACTTTAAAACGAACTAGATGATATAAACCCAGATCAGTTCATCTGGTTTAATGTTTTCATTCAACTTTTTAATGTTTACTGCAATAAAACAACATGTGACCCCCCGTCACGTCCAAACCAGGATTAAGTCCAAAAGTGGGATGTGGAGAAACAGGCATCCGGTTTTATATATA